CATACCTTCAGCTACTCCGTGTGCCATTGCACGGTACTCAGCTTCAACACTGGATCTAGCTACCACGGTTTGCTTCTTACTCCTCCAAGTAACAAGGTTCCCTCCTACAAAGGTGCAGTAACCACTAGTAGACCTTCTGTCACTTTGAGATCCAACCCAATCTGCATCTGTGTAAATTTCAACTCTCAAATGTCCATGTTTCTGGAATAATAAGTCAGCACCCGGGAACTTCTTAAGATACCACAGTATTCTCTCTGCTGCTTCAAGATGAGTGGACCTAGGTGCATGCATGAACTGGCTGAGGACATCAACAGCATATGCTATGTCTGGACGAGTCATATAGAGCTACAACAATCTCCCTACAAGCCTTTGAAATTGCTTCACATCCTTAAGAGGTTCGCCTTGGCTGTCACTTAACTTATGGTTGGGGTCAATGGGAGAGTTAGCTGGTTTAGTCCCAATCTTTCCAGTGTCCTTAAGCAAATCTAGGACATATTTCCTTTGGGAGATGAAGATATCCTTTTTTGATCGGGCAACCTCAATTCCAAGGAAGTATTTGGCAGGTCCTAGATCTTTCACTTCGAACTGAGTGGTAAGGAAGTCTTTCAAACTTTGAATTTCATCCTTCCAGTCACCAGTAACAATTACGTCATCCACATATACTATTAGGGCAGCCATTTTACCTTCTACTCTTTTTACAAACAGTGTGTGATTTGACTGACATTGCTTGTATCCCCTCTGCTGAACTGTAGTATGAAATCTGTTGAACCAAGCTCTTGGTGATTGCTTCAGTCCATATAAAGACTTTTTCAACTTGCACACCTTTTGTTCACTTCCTTGATCCAAAAAACCGGGGGGTTGAACCATATAAACTTCCTCTTCAATGTCACCATTCAAGAAGGCATTCTTGATGTCAAGCTGATGTAGATCCCGATTTAGATTGGCAGCAAGAGAAAAAAGGACTCTAATAGAGTCCAATTTGGCAACAGGGGCAAAGGTTTCTGCATAATCAACCCCATATACTTGAGTAAAACCCTTTGCCACTAAACGAGCTTTATACCTCTCCACGGTTCCATCAGCCCTATACTTAACAGTGAACACCCATTTACATCCAACTGGATCCTTTCCCTTAGGG